CATTACTCCTGTGAATAAATGAGATTTGAAAGATAATGCATAGACTAGAGTAATTTTGAAACTGGGTATAAAATGCTTGTTTTTGCACTGTATTTCCCAAATGACAAAAATAGCAAAAACATGGCATGAATGTCCAACATCCACAGCATTGTATGCTTTGCTATTGAGCTATAGAACCTCTCTCACAGAGCACTCTGGTCAGTCCCTAGCAATCAGTCTGTTGACATGTAAGATAAAAACCCATTTGTCATCCTGCCAAAGGACTGCAAAAACAATGCCATAATTTCCAATATCAGTATGAATCAATCATTGGATTTCATAAGAGAAAACACCAACTTACAGATAACCTCAGGAGTACCAACTGTATGATTAAACAGTTATTGTGATTAGATTAAAAAGTATTAAAAAATCCTTAACAATTTATAAACTTTATAAAATGAGTTATGTTTTCTGTCTCATTTTTTCATTGTGGTTAAAATCACTGACAGTGCAAGGAAGGTCAGAATTTATGATTTATGATTTACAAACTAAGAACAATGGGCAAGCTTTTCTAAAGGCAAATCTAGGGTTCAATAAAAAAAGCACTTTCTTATAATCAAAAGTAGCCAGTAGCTGGTATGGAGGAATAGACCACCTTGAAAAGCAGCAAATGAGCTTATTATCCATGAGACTTTTATTTGAATGCAGAAAGAGCATCTGACTGGAGGAGTGCAGAGTACAACTCTGAGCGAGAAGTTGGATGAGATGACTTCTAAGGTCGCTTTCAACCCTACTATACTGTGACTGTGGCAGAATATCTTGCCAGATTATACATTCTATTATGTACTCCAGATACATGAGCTAATCCTTTCAAAATGATATTCTTAGCAAAACTTAATATTACGTACCTCTGCAACCTTGAGAAATTCAGACACTCGTGTCATTCTAGTTAGAAATCGTTTATAAATTTCTAGAGCATCTTTACATTGTCCTTTCTTCATTTCAAAAAACTTTTCTAGAGGAGATAAAGAAATAAGCAATTTGAAAACAGTATTAAATTCTATTTTATGCTAACCTTATGTTAACATTACTACTTAAAACTTAAATTAGAGATGGAATACAAACAGTTGGTACCAAAACTTATATGAGTTATATTAAAGCACCTAAACAACGGGAATCTGAATAGTTTAAGAAAGGTGTTATGTTCTAAGATAATCATCTGTCTCACATGAAACAATTTATAGAATATATATGAGTTGTCAAAGCAGGTTAAATTCATGATCCATATATCCCAGTATCTGTCTTTGAAAATAGCAGCAAAGTCTTCCTGATAACAGTCTCAAAAGTTATGATTGCATTCTTTACTTTCTTACTAGCTCACTATAAACCAGTAGTCTATATATTATAAAGCAATTATTTACAAACCTTTCTGAATTAAAGAATTCCTTAAATTGTCTACACTTTGTATAAATTGATACTTGCTTTTATTGGTCATAAATTATTTCTTTCAAACATTGTAATTTGTCTCTTAGTTGTAAAATACTACAGTTTTAGTTTCTAATTTCTAATGTGTAATAGGAAGAAATGCTATCCATGCAAATCAGAATCTGAGTCTTCCTTCATCTTTTCCAGTGTGAAAGTTTAAAATTCCATGTTCAGTTGTCAGTGTTGTGGAAATTAAGTTCAGCCCCTCCTGCGCTATGCCCATATACAGACTCAGTAAAGTTTAAAAATTAGACTTTCAAAAGAAAACAGAAATATTTTGTGCTTTACACATTAAGATGAAAGATAAATTCAGCCAGTAAAAGGATTAGTATAAACTTTTAAATTCTGGTTCTGAAAAGCTTACAATAGACATGCTTCTTTCACTATTTTGACTAAAGGAATTTATGAAAGAAAGATCCTAATTTTGATCATTCTCATTGATTAGCTGTGGGTTCAGTATGATTATCGTAGGGGTTATAATTTTGATTCCAAAATTTACTCAAAACTTTCAGTAAGTCATTGTTTGTGGATATAGTAACTATAATCATGTATTTCATTCAATAAAAACCAAAAAGGAAAAAAATAAAATAAAATAAAATACTACAGTTTTGTGAAGAACATTTGGTTTACCAAACCCTTTGTGACTTTCTACTCTGTAATCATATCCGCTTTTCAACCTTCACCTTTCTAGACAGAAAAGCAGAGGATCACTTTGCTACTGTCTTTTGTATTTAACAAGACTAGAATTCAGTCATTAGGGTCCTATAGCTCCACTATAATTGCAGTCTGAGAATGTGCTTTCCTTATATATGTTTTTGAGAAAACCAATACTTTTATCAATGTTTTTGCCAGTCATTCATTGATTTGTTCAGTCAAGAATTATTGACAT